CAACAGATCTCTCAGATCCTACCTATCCTCCATTAACATTAGCTGGCACATAGAAATCAGAGTGAGGTTATTAAAACTCCCTCTGAGTAAAAGTTGAAATTCTTAAGTTCTGCAAGGCTCTACATGACTCTTTTGTTCAATGTTGCATTGTTGGCACCTGGAACAGGAGTTGAGGCATAGTAGGTCATCATAAGCATCGCTAGAATGAATGAACACCTCCATTGAGATAGAAATGAAAGAGTATGCAAATGTCAAACAAGCATCTAGAAACAGGAAAGACATCTAAAGATCACTCAGTTCACATCTTCTTTCTACATATTCAAAACTAATATTCAAGAGCTTATGTGATTTTTTTCTTATGTGAATTTTTTAAAAGTTGTATAGTAGTCAATGTTGTCAAAGTGCTCCGCTCTACGTGAATTCTTCTTTTCCAAACCTATTTTCCATCTTTGTATCTTACTAAGAAGTATTTTTTCTAATGACTTCCTTAAAATTTTGGCATTTTGATTTCCCACCCATTACTATGCAGTTTAGCACCGTGATTAGCAGCACACATAGTGAAGTATGTCTGTTGGAATTCATGTCAGATTACTCTGCCTACTATGTGAACATGCACAGCTTATTTCATTTCTTTTGCCTCAGTTCCTCCATATGAAAAGGAGGATAATGAGAGCACTCCTCGGATTCACTGAATTCGTATATGTAAAACACAATAGTACTTGGCACGTAGTAGGAGTGTGATAAATGATAGGTGTTACTACTCTGATGAAAAATGCCACTATTGTTTAGGAGACTGTGCTCTAGAGGAATAAACATGTACTAAAGTCAAACATCAAATGAAGGACAAAAGAAGAAAGAGAATGAAAAGAAGCCCATGAAGGAAAAGAGGGGAGGACAAAGGAAACTTTTCAAAGAGGTCGATGAAGTAAAGTGAAGCCATCAGATATGAGCTGGCTCGTCTAGAAGTCAAGTTTAAATACAGTTAACAGAGTCCATCCATTGCTTTCACTTGGTGTTTTAGTCGATGCTATTGTTTCAGCCTGCTCGTGTGAAGAGAAGCCAGGCATAGGTTTTCAGGAGCTACTTCCACAAAAGTGTACAACTGAGTCTTTCTCCATAGTCTGTTCTTAGTCTGGAAGCGCTGCTCAAACCTATTTCCTTTGGGTGCACCTGCTGGCATTTGAAATAGCAGTGACATCGCTTCCAGAATCACAACACATAAGCCACCAAATTGACAAACTGACAGGCAAGTCCTGGACAAAAGGTTGAAGTTGTCAAGGATTGTGTCTTTCTTGGATCCATAATCAATACTCACAGAAACAGCATTCAAGAGATCAAAAGGTGCATGGTATTGGGTAAATCTGCTGCACAAGTCCTTTTACAGTGTTGAAAAGCAGAGATGTTACTTTGAGAGCTAAGGTGCACCTGACCCAAGCCATGGTGTTTTCACTTGGATATTGAATAATGATACTGAATAAGGAAGACCAAAGTTGGAGACTGAATAAGGAGGACCAAAGAAGAATCGATGCATTTGGATTGTGGCGTTGGAGACGAATGATGAAAATACCATAGACGGATAAAGGGAAAATAAAACTGTCTTGGGAGTATGGCTAGAGGGCTCCTCAGAGGCAGGGAGGGTAAAATTTTGTCTCATGTGTTTTGGACATGATGCCAGACAAGACCAGTCCTTGGAGAAGGACATCAGGCTTCGTAAAGTGGTGGGGCAAGAAAAAAAGAGGAAGGCGCTGAAGGAGATAGATTGACATCATGGCTGCAACAATGGGCTCAGGCATAAGAACAAATGTGAGGATGGCGCAGGGCCAGGGAATGATTTCCTTCTGTTGAGCATTGGGTCACTATGGGTCAGAATTGACTTGATGGTCCGTGCCAACAACAGTGTGAAAATTAATCATAGTAATATGAATAACACTACTCCTACTACCAGAAAAGTTTGAAAATCCAAGAGAGTTGTGATTTAAAATTTTCTTCATTAGCATTTTCAAAATCAATGGACTTTGACATCTTTGAAATTGCCTTAAAAAAAATAGGTCGCTATGAATGAAGAGTAAACCAGAGAAGCATTTAAACATTTTTGCTTTTTTTTGGCTTCTCATTTGATTCTTCTCATTTATCATTGTCCAAATTATAGTTATGATTTAGCCTGTTTTCTTTCAACCTCTAGAAAATTTTTCAAAAAGAGAAAAAATGATTTGAGAGAAAATATAAATTATTTACCAAAATAAATTAACATCTATATAATACATAGAAAAAACTCAAATATTTGTTATGATATCAAATTATTATTTTAGCATTTAAACTAACTTTGGTCCTCCACCAAATAATTATTGTACTTATTTTTAATGTAATAACAATTGTAACAGACTATTTTACTAAAATATCCATAAGATTTTGAAATGTAGAAATGCATTATTAGGCAAAATTGAAATAGAAGTAATAATGATGGGTCAAAAAGAACTGCAGAAGAATATATTTGGCTTTCTACAGAAAGCACAAAGCACATGACAATGAGATTTGGGAGCTCTGTCCATAAAAGAAGGTATACCTCTCCATTCTTTGACAAATTACAGGTTCTACTGAATGAACACAAAAACCATTGCTTCATTGTTGATCATCCGGAATTCAACTGAAGATGAACATAAGGGCCTAAAAATATGTTAACTACGCAAAGCAAGCATTGTCATTAAACACTAAATCTGTATGTTACATGTTGTAGCTTTTTCTAGTTAAAAGAAATGAAAGCTATACATTATATTCTAACATCTGCACACTCTCTAGGACATTGGCATTATGCAATGGCTCACCATGCAAGTGGCACGGTGGGACAGAGTGAGAGGCCACACAAGATTGCGAGCTACCCAGGGAAGCACAAAGAGAGGAAGGTCTCCCTCCGGTGTGCTCAGCTCTCGAAGGAGCAGGCATAGGTGCAAGAAGCAGAACAGTGCTGAGAGATAAAAATATTGGGGGTTGAGCCCTGATAACTGTTTTCTTTGGAGATTTCCTTAGATTTATTTTTTGTCAAAGGGCATTGGAAAGAAATATCTTAAAATCTGTTCATTTGTAGTATGCAAAAACTAGAATATACACTTAGGATAAAGGAAAAGATTTTTGAACAATATAAACCTCTGGATGATGGTATAATCTTCCAAGGCAAGTATGAAAACTGCTTTCATTTAAGACAGTGGTTCTCATCCTGTGGGTTGCAACCGCTTTGGAGGTCGAATAACCCTTTCACAGGAGTCTGCTGATTCATAACAGTAGCAAAATTACAGTTATAAAGTAGCAACGAAAATAATTTTATGGTTGGGGGTAACCACAACATGAGGAACTGTATTAAAGGGTTGCAGCATTAGGAAGGTTGGGAACCACTGATTTAAGATATTTAAAATCAGACTGGAGAAAAACACATTAACACTTAAAGTTGGCCTTGTTCTCCTTCCTACATAGGTGCCTGGGCCCACACCACGTGCCCCATGACACCATTTTGTTTTACAGCCTAAGAGCACTTCCAGACCACCCACAAGAGGGAAGGAAGAAAGATGATTGGACTAGAGCTGATGACTCACATCCGGGTCATTTTTCCCAACATGTTCCTGGCTCAGTTCCAATATCTTTAGGATATTAGAAAAGAGCACTTAGCATGGAATCACCATATTTCCAGAGTGCAGCTCTGAGAATTTTCCAGAGAACACAGGATGTTCTTCTCCACTCCACCCTACTTTAAGTTGGCCTGTGTTTTGTTTTGTGGTCTTTTAAACCATAAATAACCTTAGAAGAAGACTAAAAAGCAACACACACACACACACACACACACACACACACACACACACACACTACTGTCACTGAGTCGATTCCAACTCATAGTAACCTTATAGAATAGAACAGCCCCTTTGGGTACTCTGCACAGGAGTAGACAGACTATATAATCTGTATAGGTCAAATGAGACCTTAGACCAGGGGCCAATAAATTATAGTTCAGAGGCCATATTGGATCTATTGCCTGGTTTCGTAACCGTTTTGTACTATAATGGCAGAGTTGATTAATTGTGACTGCATGGGCCTACAGATCTATTTACATTCACCCTTTAATAAAGTCAATCCCTTCTTTAGGTTTAATAACTTGGAAAACACTAACTCAAGTATCCCCAAATTAATAGATGTAAAACTGTTGCCTTTTCCTCTTTTCTTGTCAAAATCACTCCAACACTTACTGCTATGTAAGTGTTTTGCATTTTAGTGCTATCTAAGTAAACCCGGACCCACAGTGACCCTATAGGTCAGGGCAGATCTGCCTCTGTAGGTTTCTAATACTGTAACTCTTTTAGAAAGTCTCATCTTTCTCCCACAGAACAGCTCATGGTTTCAAACTGCTGACCTTGCAGTCTACAGTCCAACAGGTACTCCACCAAGCCACCAAGACTCCTGTTTCAGAAGAGGGAAGAATAATTTCAATCTGAACAGACTGTGCCAACTTCTCATAAACCCCATCCAAGAGATCACATGCTAGAATCTGTTATACCTAAAACAGTGTGATGGTGAAGCGCAGAAGCCCTAAAATCAGAAAGACCTGAGTTTGAATCCCAGATTTACCATTTGCCAGCTGCGGTCATTGATTATTATCACTTTTATGTCACTTTTTCTCATTTCTACATTTCTCCCCTTGATACAAAGTAAAAATATGAACCTAGTTCACAGGACTTATGTGAAGAGCCAGTGTAATGTAATGATTTATAGCTTTGGGAACTAAACTTCTTTGAGGAACTTCTACTCTGCCCTAGATGATCACTGTATGTTGGAATTGACTCAATGACAATGGGCTTTTAAGCACTTACACAGTGTCTGGTATATTATAATTACTCAAAAGATTGCATTTTGTATTATTACTATTATTACCAAAATACTAGCCTCAGAAAAATCTGTTTTATTTCTGAGATTGAATATGAAGCTTATATTATATAAATGAATTGCCTGTTAAGCATCACCTGCACAATTTTTTCCAGGGTCTCCACAGAGCGGATCTTCAGTTTCTGGACTCCTGGTTGAGTTCCCATCTGCCACAACACAGTGGAGGATCATGAGACCTTCAAGTTCAAAACAAAGCAAACACACATGAAATTTTGCATAATGAGAACATTATGTCAAAGGCCTAATCCATTTTTAAATCATTCTCCCCCAGCAGGCGAGGGGTTAACAGGTCAGTATGTTCTCATCATTTTTTCAGCTCAATGCTACACGCGAATTTCTCAAGCCAGTATCATTTACATATAACTGGTTCAGTGGTTAATATTTAGCCTTCAAGGTTCAGTTGCCAACCAGTGGACCTCAGGTGCAGCTACTACCTCTCTGCCAATGAAGACTTGTATGTTCACATGGTGTTGAACTGAGCAAATAATTAAAGAAGTTGGAAGAATGTTGCATCAGGATTGGAGGAGTGCTTGTTAACAAATTGTGAAATGCAGATGACACGACCGTGCTTGCTGAAAGTGAGGAAGACTTGAATCCCCGGCTGATGAAGATCACAACCTTCAGTATGGATTACAAATCAATGCAAAGAAGAGCAGAATTCTCATAACTGGACCAATAGGAGCATCATGATGAATTGAGAAAAGGTTGATGTTGTCAAGGATTTTACCTTTCTTGGATCCACAATCAATTCTCATGGAAGCAGCAGTCAAGAGATCAATGGACACATTGCACTGGGTAAATCTACTGCCTAAGACTTCTTTAAAATGCGAGAAAGCCAGGATATGACTTTGAGAACTAAGATGGGCCTGACTGAAACCATGGTATTTTCATTTGCTTTGTATGCCTGTGAAAGTTGGACATTGAATAAGGAAGACCAAAGAAGAATCGATGCGTTTGAATTATGGTGCTAGCAAAGAATATTGTAAGTACAATGGACTGCAAAAAGACCAAACACCTGTCTTGCAAAAAGGACAGCCAGGATGCTCCTGGGAGACAAAATGCCAATACTTCATCTCACCTATTTTGGACCTGTTGTCAGGAGAGACTGGTCCCTGGAGAAAGATGCCGTGCTTGCGGAAGTAAAGGGAGAAATAAAACAAAAAGAGGAAGACTCCTAATGAGATGGATTGACACAGTGACTGCAGCAATGGGTTCAGGCATAGGAACCATTGTGATGATGGTGCAGGACCGGGCAGTGCGCTCTCGTTCTGCTGTGCACAGTCTCTACGCGTAGGAACTGAGCCAATGGTACCTAACAACAACATCGTGGTGTTGAACAGGTCTCAGCAAACCTCCCAACTAAGACGCATTTAGGGACAATGGCCTCGATCTACTCACAAAAACAAACCAGTAAAAGCCCCACGGGACACATGTTGTAGTCCACAAAGCTCAGGTAGATGGTGCTGGGTTGGCGGTGTTTTGTTCTGTTGGACATGGGGTCACTGTGAATTGGGGCCAATATATGAGCAGCCACCAACCACAGCATGCACCAAGAGAGAAGATGTGACCATAGCTTTTGGTGACACATGATCATGAAAGCAGACTATGAAGTAGAGCTATATTCTTACAGATGAATTTGCAGGTGAATGAATGATGAGCTCACATGCCAATATCCCCTCTTCATTCCACACAGACTAGGGTTTCCTATGTATTATCCATTAGGCTTCCTTCTTGGCAACTGAGAACTAGATATTAGATCCATTGGAATTATTTTTAAGTCCTAGTTTCTCCAGAGAAGTAGCCCTGTCTCTGAGAGCGGCTAGGGAAGACTAGGGAGAAGAGTATCGTGTTACAGTTTAAATGGTATAGAAAGAAATGTGTGGTCCTTGTTTGAATCTTTATTCAAGGAAACCCACTGTAATAATAAGAAAAGTTATACTCAGGAAATTTGACACTCACTAGGCATTACAAGATATTAAACAATTGTAAATATTTTAAAGTCTAATAATGATTTAGAACCTAATGGATTAGGTTCTAAAACAGAATTTACATCTCTCAGAGATATATATTAGGATGGTTACTAATGAATTCAAGGCCTTTGAGGTTTGCTTTAAACTAATCTAACACAAAATACAAGCCCAAGGTAGTAAAGGAAAAGTTCTAGAAGAAACACTAGGTAAGGAACGAAAAGGAGGGAGAAGGAAAGAAGAGGTAAGGTGAGGCAGGATAAAGTGAGGTGAGATGAGGTAACATCGCTGGAGGCTACCCCAGTGTAAGACAAAAGAAAGCCTGGTGGTCTCACAGAAAAGTGTCAATCAGGAGCCCTAGAGACCCGACAAGGGACAGTTTTACTCCATGAAGATTAGAACCCACACGGCTCTATGGGGCATTTCCACTTTGTCACTTGGGATCACTAGGAGTCAAAGATAGCCTGACCCTTTACAAAATCAACATCCTGTGGGGGAAAACAGTGGAATAACAACATGGCTTTGGGGTTAGCCGGCTCTGAGTCCAGGACCTGACAGTCTGCATTTTTCTCATCCCAAAAAGTACTTCGGAGTACTGGAAGAATCCAACGAGATACACAGGCAAGGCAAACTAGTTCCTGGCATGTAAACAATGGTCAATCTAAATAAGTCATTATTAGAAAAGACTGGAATATAATAACTTATTGTCTGGCTGTATCAAAATGTATACACCTAGCTAATGTTTCCCAAACTATGCATGTTGTCCAATCCAATTCACATCATTGAGCAATTCATGAGCATCCAGGAACAAACACACAGGTGAATATGTTCTAGCTTCCAGTTTCTCCAAAGCTGCTAAGGCAGGCAATCCTCCAAGCAAAGACCAATAATTCAAAGCATAGTGCAGTACCACAGAACAGTATGTAGCCAGCAAGTTCAAAAGTTAACAAGTTTGCCAAGAAAGGATTTGTGAATAGATGGGGAGGTTGACAGAGAGTTGCTCGGCAACAATGAAACATACAACTTTCCTCTAGTTCCTGAATGCTCCCCCCACC